CTACACCCCACATAGGGGTCAAACTCACAACTCCAAGATCAAGAGTCAGATGTTCCAACAACTGAGCCAGGCAGGTGTCCCTATAAAATAATTTTTGTATTCTAGAACAACACAATTTCCAATTGCATATATCTGCTTTTATATAATACAGGATTCTTAGGGTGATATTTTCTGACTTGACAGTACAATCTTATTGAAGTTCCATTAATAATGGAGTCAAAACAATCCATAAAGTGGGTTTTTCGTTTGACAATGGTGAGGAAGCAGATATACCTAACTATGAATTCAAGACAATGGTATTTTTGAATCTCTGCGTACGGAAGGCATGTTTTTGTGGCCCATCTCAGCCAGTGATTTACAGCAAATGGATGTCTCTTCTCATGCACTATTTGTCATCAGAGAGGATGTCAGCATGTTCTGTTGTCATTGTGCAAGGCGTTATAAGAACCTCCTGTTTCTGAGTCCTCAGACACGTCTTCAGTCCTCACTCCTCCATTCTCCCTTCCCCTTCTTGTCTAATGCCAGATTCACAGTCACCTAACACCTGAAGAATCTAATCATCATAAGGTGGGTGTTGCCTCAGCTGTCTATTGCTGCATAGAAAGACAACCTAAAATTAGTAGCTTAAAACAACAATGATCTGTTATTTTTCACAATGCTGTGGGCTCACTAGACAGTTCTTCTGATCTCATCTGGGCTCACTCAGGCTACTGCATCCGTATGATGGGTGAGCAATACCTCTAGGGCCCAAGATGACCCCATCACTGTATGTGAGACTGTGAAGGGACTGGAAGGCTGGGACCTCTCTCTCTCTCTCTGTGAGTCTTTCATCATTAGTTAGTCTATCTGAGCTTTTTTCATGGCAAGTTTCAAGAGAGCAAAGGCACAAGCTGTGGAGGCTCCAGAAATCTCAGATGATATTACTTCCACAATATTCTATCACTTTAGGCAAATCCTAAGGCCAGGTTTATTGCAAGATGCAGTGATACAAAGGGTGTGATTTTAGGGAGGTGTGATTCATCAGGGTCACTTTATAGCAATCTATCATAGGATATGTGTGTGCATGTGTATGTGTTGTGTATAAAATCCAGTTGGACTTCATTAGAAGCATGCTTGGCTATGTACCTAAATCTCTGTAAGGTCAATCTGTCAACAGTTTTGTTTTGTTTTGTTTTGTTGAGCAACCACAAGGAACAAAGTAATAGGCTAGAAATATACATTACATTTATGTTGCAATTTCTGGCTAAAAAAATTGCTTTCAAGTCCATTAAAAAATGTTTTTTCAAATCCACCTTGTGAAATAGGTAATGCGCATAGAGTATAATAAGACATACATTTGGTGTTTGATCTCATTTCCTGGCACAGAGCTTCTAACACTTTTGAGACTTTATGAGTACTAGAAAAGTCCTTATTTTTCCATGCTGAGCCCCTTTAGTTCACAGCTGGCCAACTTAGGGTAAAGCTCCTGGAAAGCCTCAAGATGAGGCTGATCACCAGAAAGACCAAGTGATGAGAGGATTGAAAAGTTTCAGTCCTACCCCTTGGATCTCCTTGGACGGAAGGATTGCTAAAGAACTGCTCAGTTGAAAATAAAAACTTTAGTTTATTTAATTATTTTGAGAGGGAGAGAGAGAGAGAGCATGCACACATGCACATGAGTGGGGCAGAGAGGGAGGGAGACAGAGAATCCCAAGCAGGCTTGGCACTGTCAGTGCAGAGCCCAACTCAGGACTCAAACTCACAAACCATGATACCATGTCCTGAGCTGAAACCAAGAGTCAAACACTCAACTGACTGAGCCACCCAGGCACTGTGAAGATAAAAACTCTTGGACAATATTCGAACTTCCCAGCTGTTGAAGCATCAAAGCACTGCGAGGGTGTTATGTCCTGAGAGGGTGGGGAAGCCCTGTGCACCCCACCACCCAAACCTCACCCTATGCATCACTTCGGTTCAGCTGCTCCTGAGTTTCAGCCTTTATAATAAACCAGTAAAATGCCCTCCTGAGTTCTATGAGCCTTCCTGGAAAATTATCAAACCTGACAAGTGGGTTGTGGCAACCCTGCTTCTTTATTGCCAGTCAGAAGCCTGGGTGGTCTCTCCAGGACTTGAAACTGGTCCTGAAGCAGGAAGGGAGGCTGCTTTGTAGGGTCCGTGCTAACTCCAGACAGTTACTGTCAGAACTGAAGTAAATTGTTAGTTTTTTAAATTTGTTTTTAAATTAAAATTTTTTAATGTTTATTTATTTTTGAGAGAGAGAAGAGACAGAGCGTGAGCAAGGGAAAGGACTGAAAGAGAGGGAGATACAGAATCTGAAGCAGGCTCTAGGCTCTGAGCTGTCAGCGCAGAGCCTGACTCCAGCTCAAACCCACAAACTGTGAGATCATGACCTGAGCTGAAGTCGGACGCTTAACGGACTGAGCCATCCAGGCGCCCCTAAGTTTCTTTTCAATGTTTATTTCATTTTTGAGAGAGAAAGAGCATGAGTGGGGGAGGGGCAGAGAGAGACAGAGACACAGAATCCGCAGCAGGCTCCAGGCTCTGAGGCGTCAGCACAGAGATCGACTTGGGGCTCAAACCCACAAACTGTGAGATCATGACCTGAGCCGAAGTTGGACACTTAACTGACTGAGCCACCCAGGTGGCCCTAGAAGTGAATTGTTGAATATCCAGATGGTGTCCTGAGAATTAGAGACTTTCTAATTCTCTAATTAGAGAATTAGAGAATTAGAGAATTTCCAAAGTGGGCTTTGGAAAACACTCCAGAGGTCCCATTTTTGCAGCAGGTAGGAGAGCTAGGACACACACAATATTTTCACTCAACATACACTTTTTTTTTTTTCAAATTGGCTCTTCCTCTTTAGAAATAAAACATTATTTCAGAGGCACCTGGGTGGCTCAATCGGTTGATCTCTGACTTCGGCTCAGGTCATGATCTCCTGGTTTGTCAATTCACACCCCATATCAGGCTTGTTCCTCTCAGCACAGAGCCGGCTGCAGATCCTCTGCCCCCCCCCCCCACCCGTTTGCCCCTTCCCCACTTGCACTCCCTCAAAAATAAATAAAACATTAAAAAGAAATAAAAAAGACATTATTTCATAAATCATAAGACATTACCCAAAGCCCTCTTTGTATGTGTAAAAGACTAGAGACCATTACACCTAAAACCAAGAGAGAAAAAACGAAGAGGAAAAATTATCGCAAGTAAAAGTTGTGCCACACAATAGGCAGACTCTCCTGCTGTAGCAAAAATTTCTGGAAGGAATCGAAGCTCTTAGAACTCAATCCAAAGTTCCAAGGAGAAGATTGAGTAGACAGTTATATATTTATATACATGCACATATAGTACCACTAGAAATGAGGTATCTAAGCTCTCTGAAAACAAACAAACTGAATACCACTAGAGCAAACTTATCTGCTAATAGCTCCTGACAAGCATTAAAATCAATTTAGAGGAGACAGTGATGCTGGACATGTCCAGAAAATAAGTTACGCTGAGATATATAAAAAAACAAAAGATTACTATAACATTTTCAGTGGGATAAAGTCTGAAAAATTGGCCCATATCTTCTAAAAAATACAAATAGGTAGTTCTGTAATGACAAGCTACGGTTAGAATACCTTCCTGCATGTTAACCTCTAAATGCAGTTTGAGAGCCCCAGTCACTTGCAGCACCTCGGACAGAGGATCCGGTGGGGGTTTTTTGTTTGTTTTTGTTTTGTTTTGTTTTGTTTTTTTCATGAGCCTCACTAGCCTTCTGGAGGCTCTTGTTTAGGAAAGATTCTCTCTGGGTCTATGAAAAGGTTCCACCTCTTCCTCTTGGAGTAAAACCATCTTCTAAATAGTTTTTCTCAGGGTGCCTGGGTGGCTCAGTCAGCTAAGCGTCTGACTTCGGCTCAGGTCATGATCTCATGGCTCATGGGTTGGAGCCCCGCGTCAGGCTCTGTGCTGACAGCTAGCTCAGAACCTGGAGCCTGTTTCAGATTCTGTGTCTCCCTCTCTCTTTGACCCTCCCCTGCTCACACTGTCTCTCTCTCTCAGAAATAAATTAAAAAAACATTAAAAAAATTTTTTAAATAATTTTTCTCCTACATTGTAGTTGAACATGTAGTTCAACTACATAAAATTGTGGTATTACAAATGTAAATATGTAAACCAGGGAAAAAAGGTAAAAATATTAATATCCCTAAGGCACAAGATTACTACACTATCTTTCATTAAGTAGTCTGCTAATACAGCCCTTCTCGCTACAAATACCTTATGTTACTAACACTATAGCACCCCTGCTTCCCTCATCCCTGCTTCAGTCTTGTTACTACTAATCAGTCTTCTAGAAACTTTCCTCCCATAGCCCTAAGTGAAGAAAAAGCTTACTTGTTCTTATTTCCCTTGAGTCACCCTTACACTTTCCTTCTTCTTTAGTCATGTACCAGATCCAAACCATCTTCCTCTGGTGGCCGTCATCATTGGATGCCTACCCGCTGGCAGAGCGCTATTTTTTTTTTTTATTTTTGTGTCTACCATCCCTCAATTATTTGACTATATTTTGACTGATCTAAGCCAGTGATTCTCAGACTTTTTGGCCTCAGGATCTCTTGACACCCTCAGAAATGACTGAGAACTTCAGAGAACTTTTGTGCTATATATCACTACTTAACATAATAGAAATTAAAACCATGGAAGCCTGGGTGGCTCAGTCGATTAAGTGACTTCAACTTCAACTCACAGTTTGTGAGTTCAAATCCTGCATCAGGCTCTGATGCAACTCGGAACCTGGAGTCTGCTTCGGATTCTGTACCTTTCTCTCTTTGCCCTTTCCCTGCTCATACTCGGTCTCTCTCTCAAAAATAAACATTAAAATTTTTTTAAAAAGAAATTAAAACCAGAAAGACATTTACTTATGAATTTACATTAAAATGATATGCCTACTATGCTAATTTAAATAACATATTTTAATGAAAAGTAACTATATTTTCCAAAATGAAATAATGTTTTACATTATTGCAAATGTCTCTAATGTCTGGCTTGAGAGAAGAGAGAATCTCATCTGCATGTCCATTTAATCCATGGCCATCCCATGCCACACAGCCTCCAGAGGACTCCACTGAGCCATTGTCCACTCCTGAGACAATGAAAAGGAAAAGGGAAAAAATTTAAAACTACCAAAAAGGATTTCCCGTGCTTCCCAGACCACCTATTAGGAGTAACTGGTTTAAGCAAATCATGGACGTACCTCAGGGGTGAGCATGGACTCGGTTCTCCTCATTGAGACACAGGACCCAGTTCTGAATGTGACAAGAAGGAACCTCTTCTAGATGGCTTTTGGGAACGGTTTCTTTCCCCTTAAAAAGAAAAAGAGGGGCTCTGGTTGGCTCAGTTGGTGGAGTGCATGACTCTTGATCCCTGGGTTCAAACCCCAGGTTTATGCCTCACAGTTGGTTGTAGAGACTACTTAAAAATAAAATCTTTAGGGGCACCTGATTGGTTCAGTCAGTTAAGCATCCAACTCTTGGTTTTGGCTCAGGTCATGATCTTGTGGTTCGTGGGTTTGAGCCCCACATGGGGCTCCATGCTGACAGTGCAGAGCCTGCTTGAGATGCTCTCTCTCTCTCTCTCTCTCTCCTTCTCCCACTGCCTCTCCCCCACTTGCGCTCTCTCTCTCCCAAAAATAAACATTAAAAAATAATAAGGGATAGAAATTATTATTTCAAATAGTCCTTATAATTTTCTTTTCTTTTTAAGTAGGCTTTATGCCCAGTGTAGAGCCCAAGACAAAGCTTGAACTCATGACCCTGAGATCAAGACCTGAGCTGAGATCAAGAGTTAAATTTCTGGGGCGCCTGGGTGGCTTAGTCGGTTAAGCGTCCGACTTTCGCTTAGGTCATGATCTCGCGGTTCGTGGGTTCGAGCCCCGCGTCGGGCTCTGTGCTGACTGCCAGCTCAGAGCCTGGAGCCTGTTTCAGTCTGTGACTCCCTCTCTCTCTGACCCTCCCCTGCTCATGCTGTCTCTCTCTCTCTCTCCTAGAAATAAATAAAACATAAAAAAAAAAATGTTAAATTTCTGCAACTTAGAGAGAATCCACTTATAAGAAGTGCTCTTTTAGGCTGAATATGTGTTGATTTAATGCTTTCATCTATAAATTTGAGTAGAAGCACTTTGCAACTGATAAGAACTTCTACCTATTCCTTTTTTTTTTTTTTTTGCTTACGGTATTTCAGAATCACTGATGTGTTTAGATGACTTCATTGTTTAGAATGTATCATATCCAAGTGTCATTTTTTGAATGACATAAAACATTTAAACACATTTTGTCCATATGACGCCAAAAATACAGACTTGTCCTTTTCTGCTACTTTCACATGTGAGATTTGAAGACATTATTTAACATGTCCACCAAAGTATTATTTAATTATATGGGACCTGGGGTCTGCAAACTTTTTCTCGAAAAAGAGTCAGATAGTCAGGACTCAGGTATTTGGTTTTTATAATCCTTGAAAAATGTAAAGGCCATTTTTCACTCATGGGCCATGCCAAAACTGGCCAGTGGCTTAATTTGGCCTGCTGAGGACAGTTTGCTGACTCTAGAAGTTCCTTTGTTTCACTACATTTATTTGTTTGTTTCACTATTCACCATTAATTAAAAGTCTAGATTTTATGAATTCACATGTTAACTTGTAGATTTTTCTCCAGTAAAGATAAAATTAATCTCTCTAACAGAAATATAACACCAAAGGTTATTGGAACATAAGTTTATGGCTTATTGTCAAAAAATATCAACTAACTAGTTTTGTATCTAACAGAGCAATCCCTTTAAAAAAAAAAATTACACTTCACAGATGCTTGGGTGGCTCAGTTGGTTAGGTGTCCGACTCTTGATTTCAGCCCAGGTCATGATCTCCCAGTTTGTCAGTTTGAGTCCCTAGTCAGGCTCTGCGCTGCCGGTATGTGGTCTGCTTGGGATTCTTTCTCTCTTCCTCTTCTCTCTGCCCTTCCCTTCTAGTGCACGTGCTCTCTCTCTCTCAAAATAAATAAACTTAAAAATAAATACATATATAAAATTTAAAGTTTAAAATTCAAGATTATTGTAGATTTACATTCGGTTGTAAGAAATAACACAGAGAGATGCTGTGTCCTCTCTACCCAGTTTCTGCAACAGGAACATCGTGCAGGACTACTGTTCAGTATTAAAGCCAGGATATTGACTGACAGTCAAGACACAGAGCATTTCCATCACCTCAAGAAGCCCTCATGTAGCCACTTTTAAAAGTTTATTTATTTTGAGAGAGAGAGACAGAGACAGAGAGATGGATAGACGGAGAGGGAGAGGGAGAGGGAATCCCAAGCAAGCCCTGCTCTATCAGTCAGGAGTCTGACTTTGGGCTCGATTCCAGGAACCTCGAGATCAAGGCCCGAGCCAAAATCAAGAGTGGGATACTTGCCTTTCCGTGCTACCCTGGGAGAGGTCCACACGGCATTGTTCTGCGTTCCCGTCATGACTTAAACGGAAACCTTCACGATGTCCGGAGCCCTTGATGTCCTGCAAATGCTAGGAGGAGGATGTGCTCACATCCCCTGCAGCAGGAACCCACCTAAGGGGCACCAACCTTGACTTCCAATGGAACATTACATCTACACAAGAACAGTGACGGCGTCTACATCACAAATCTGAAGAGAACGTGGGAGAAGCTTCTGCCGGCAGCTCGTGCCCTTGCTGCCACTGAAAACCCAGCTGATGTCAGTGTCCAGTCATCCGGGAGCACTGGCCAGTGAGCTGTGCTGAGGTTTGCTGCTGCTGCTGCTGCTGCTGCTGGAGCCCCTCCTATTGGCGGCCACTTCACTTCTGGAACCTTCACTAAACCACATCCAGGCAGCCTTCCAGGAGCCGAGACTTCCGGTGGTGACGGATCCCAGGGCTGACCACCAGCCTCTCACGGAGGCGTCTGACGTTAACCCGCCTCCCGTCGCTGTGTGTCACACGTTAACCTGCCTCCCATCGCTGTGTGTCACAGACCCCTCTGCGCTCCTTGGGCATTGGTGTCCCTTGCAACAAGAGAGCTCACTGAGCGGGTCCGATGTGGCGGGCTTGGGCCCAGGAAGTTCTGCGCACGCGCGGCTCCGTTTCCCGTGAACACCCGCGGGAGGTCCTGACTGGTCTCTACTTCTACGGACGGAAAAGGCAGAGCGGGTCACTGCTGAAAAGGCTGTGACCAAGGAGGAATTTCAGGGTGAAGGGACTGCTCCCGCCCCCGAGTTCACTGCTCCTCAGCCCGAAGTCGCAGACTGGTGTGAAGGCGCGGGCCCGTGTGCCTACTCAGCAGTGCCCGGGAGGCCACAGCCTCCGCCTGCCCGGGAACACTGGTCTGCGGCTCTCGGGCCACTGAGCGGGCGGGAACAACCACCGAGCAGTCCGCAGCTGCTCTTCCACAGAGGCAAAGAAAGGGGAAATAAGGTTGATGGAAAAGAAACCGCTTCTAAAATAAAACAACAACAACCACCAAGTGGACTGTGGGAAACGGTATGTGGTTCCTCAAGAAATTAAAAACAACTATCATATAATCTAACAATCCTTCTAAGGGTATATCCAATAGAAGTGAAAGCAGGGCATATTTATTTTTTCATAAGAACAACAGAGTGTATTATAAATATGATAAACTAAAGACACTAAGGAAGTTACACAGACTGAGTTACAAAATCCTAAAAATCCAATAAAGGGAACCAGTTTGGAGCACAGCACCATTTGCCCTCCATTCA